GATAGATTTTATGCAAAATTAAAAAATCATTTTACATTAAATTGCAAGAGACATATAAAAAATATAGGAATCTACTAAATGTAACCATAAAAATAGCAAAAGACGCATATTTCTATAAACAAATTTCTAACGCTAAAGGTAATACTAAAAAAATATGGGAATTTTAGCCTTAGATAATAAATGTAATATAGCAAACTATATACCAACAATCCTAAATCATCAAAATAAAATTTTAACAGATAATATTAGTATTGCAAATGAGTTCAACTCTTTTTTCGTGTTTAAATAATATTCCAGTAAATGATAAAAGTATATTCTTAAGCCCCATTTCGACTGATGAAATTAAAAAATATATAATATTAAATATTAATTCATTCAATAGGTGGGAATTAACAAACACGATTTTAAAAGCTATTATTTTTAATATTCTTACACCAGTGCAATATATTTTTAATCTAGTTCTTACTACTGGTGTTTTTCCACATTCCTTCAAAAATACTATCATTATCCCGTTACATAAACAGTTAAATAAAAATGATTGTACTAATTATCGACCAATAGCACTTACAATTACACTATCCAAAGTCTTAGAAAAGTGCATCAAAGATAGGCTTTATAACTTCTTAGAAACATGCTCGATATTTTCTAGAAACCAATTTGGTTTCAGGAGAAACAAAGGTACCGACAAAGCTTTAATGACTGTAATTAGCCACATTTATAACAAACTAGATAAGAATAGAGCAGTAATAGGATGTTCTAGATGTTAAAAAAGCTTTCGATTCAGTTGACCATTCAATTTTGCAAGCCAAATTAGAAAAATACGGTATCAGGGGGAATGCAAATAACCTTATATGTAATTTTCTAGAACATCGTATTCAACAAGTAAGAGTAAATAACAGTTTAAGCGATCATCTGATTTCAAATCTTGGAATACAGCAAGGTACTGTATTGGGTCCTCTTCTTTTTATTGTTTATATTAATGACTTATTGAATATTCAATGTAACGGATCAATTTTCAGTTTTGCTGATGACACCTCAATTATTATAGATGACATAAATAAAAATCATATTCATAGTAAATCTACTCATGTTTTAAGTATCGTCAAAACATGGTTTGATAATAACCTCCTAGAACTTAATTTAACAAAAACTTGCTTTATGAACTTTAGCATTAACAAATTGTTACCCACTGGAAATAATTATCTTAAGGCGCACCTCATAAATTGTAATGAATTTAATATAAATACAGTGTCTGCTAGCCTATCAGTAATGACAGTAAGTGTAATTGCACTTCTATTTCTTCAGTACAAAAGGTAAAATATCTAGGTATTACTATAGATGCTAACCTTAAATGGCAAAATCATATTATTTATACAACTAGAAAGGTCAGACTATTGTTCTATAAATTTAAAACTCTTAGCAACATACTATCACCCAACACAATGAGAATGGTTTTCATAGCTATGGCTCAGTCAATTTATTCATATGGTATTGGGAGTTGGGGTGGTGCCTACAATATACATCTAAATTCACTAGAAACCACTATAAATTCTCTCATTAAAATATCTTTTAAAAAACCCTATAGGATGAGCACTGAATTGTTATATAAAGAATGTACCTAATCTATTAAATTTAAATCAATTTTATGCACGACATTTATTATCGAATATGTTTTTCCTTGATGTTCAAAAATTTAAATTTAAACATAACCATTGTACAAGAACCAAACAAACCAATATGTTTTTAATTCCTTTGTGTAGAACGAAATTTGGAAAAAGAAACCCCTTGAATGCTGGAATTAAGATGGCAATGGAAATAAATATTGACGTTGGTTTGTTTAAAGTCTTTAAATTATATAAGCAAATGGTAAATGAAAAAATTAAATTACTAACATAGATAATTTCTATTATATCTGTATTTGGTTTGATATTAATTGTTATATTTATTCTGTATTTCTAAAATATTTTTAAAATTTGTATCCATGTTATTATTCTAAAATCCTATAATCACTAAGTCAACTGCAATCGACTGATAATGTTTTAATTATAATGTTAATTGTTTAATGTTAATTTAACTATAATTTAAATATTTTAGTAAATGTACGAGATATTTTTAAGAACCTTGTCTCCACAACAAGCCTAGCCCACGGTGACAATCATTTAAGTATAATTCCATATTACAATATGTATAAATATTTGTATAAAATTACATGTATGTATACATTTCTATTTCTAAATGAAAATAAATAAATAATAAAATAATAATAACTCCTATATTAAAAATTTATGATTTTATAGAATGACATGATTTTTTTTGGTAAAATTCTTAACACAATAAATTGAATACTCATTTAGAACCATTTTCTACATCTAATAATCAAATAATAATAATAAATTATTCTATTGAGTTCCGCTTTAACGAAAAGCCTTTTGTCGCGATTCCAAACTATACATAGCCTCACATGGGTATAATTTATTAAAAGTGAATGTTGAAATAAGTGATTTCTAGTTAACATAATAGAGTGACTTAGTATTCCATATTATATGTAGTAATATCACGGATATAATTATATAAACAATCCTACGAAAGTAATTAAAATATAAATCGATGGCCAGGTTGATGAAACTTTGATTAGATTATTAAATAACATGAAAATATATTTGATTCACGATTAATTGAAATTTGGATTACTCCAATTGAAAGTATTGATAGGAAATGACAAAATACGTGTAGGTATTATGTTAGATAGTAGATACTAATCAAAATTACTTTTAATTATTTATCATTCTACAATTTAAATCGAAAGTCGTAGGTGTTTAAAATAATATGTTGAATTGCAGCAACTTTTGACGAATAAATTATATTGACTGATATTATAAACTGACTGTTAATAATTAATATTATAATGATAATATGTTTATGTTTAGTTTCACATTATGTTTACGAGAGCTTTAATCCGCTATTTCGTATATTATACAGTACCTATACTATACCTAGGTAGGTATGTTATAGATTGATCAAATATAAACAGAAATTTAAGCAGTCCATTTTGGCTTCATTCACTATTTTATTAGCAGCTGTATAAACTGGTGAAAATTTCATTAAAAGTCTCTTGGATAATACATTTTTTCAAATCACTTCAAAATGACCAGAATCGATTCTCGATTTGTTTTCTAAAATTATGTACATCATACCTCTATTTGAAACGTTTACTATAATGTGTTTTAACATATTTTGATATTTTGTGATATCTATACTCGGAGTTCTGCATGTAAAACCGATGAAAATAATAACTAATGATAGTATAGACGTAAGAAGGGCGATAGACATGTTAAATAATAGCAAACATAATATATTATATCCGATTTGAAAACCGACTAGATGCAGAAGGTTTCTGACAAGTGGCTGAAGTGGCTCAACAAAATATATCTCATTGGCAATATATTATTACCTCTATAGGTATGCGATTTCGTTGGTTCGCCGAGAAGACGTATAGTTACGGTTCAATGCAGAACGTTGCGGTGCAGATGTCGTCCGATGTCGATATCCGGTCGCCATCCGCCGCCGTGATGCAACAGGTGCTTTCCACTGTGCCGCCAAATGGTCCCGCCGAAATCGTTGTGGCAAACTACGTCAGTCCGATTTTTCGATATTACATTTCGTAGGCGAGCACGACGCAGTGATGACGACTGTTGCAGCAAGAGTCGAGATCGAGACGCCGTCCGAGGACTGTTCGCGGATACCACGGGTTTCGACGGAGCATAGAAAAGGACCAGCCGAAACGGACGTCCAGGGAAGCCTTGATATCACAAGTCCACCGAGGAGACGTTCCAGTTCAATGCCAGACATTGCATTTCAGTTTGGTGCTGCCGAGGTCAAAACGTTCGAACGTTCCGGGTTCCGATCGAGTCTGAAATTCCGACAAAATTGAATATTTAAATTTTAAACGTAAAATAACGATTTTTGTAATTCCGTTGTATTCAAAAGTTATGATTATACGGACTTGAAAATGTTTATTTCAAACTGTTAACCTGTGTAAATACTATATTTTATTTACTATATTATACACAATGACATTTTGCAAAATATTTTGATTAATTTTATCGTATTTTGCCAATTTATACCACGAACCTATTCACACCGATGTACTGTAAGTTGGTACTGATAAAAAAGTTAATAGTAATAATGATAGGTATATTATTATTGTAATAATATATAGTATTATAATAATGATATAGGTACAATATAATAAATGCAATTTTTGTTCTGCAAAAATAATTCAATCTAACATATTAATAATAATATTGTAAAATATATTACTGTAATAGCAATATTATATTGTATGATGTATTTATAATAAATACATCATACATATACTTAGTAATATAGGCTGACAGACCATCTCTCCTCAGAATCGTTTTATCATTGAATTTAAATATAACACATTCATTAGAGACACCAGACCGCATTTTGTAATGATAATATTATTTAACAAAAAATTGTTGTCGGGAGTGAGTTACCCAATGAAGAGATAGGTACACTAGTCGAAACAAACATATTATGTATTTTTTTTTTACGAGTATATCAATTGTTTTATATTATTATATTTGTAGAGTTTATCTGTTCGTAGAAAGTATTGCGATAACAACTTACTAGCATTCTGTAAATCTCAACTAGTATAACTGTTACTGTAATGAGTAATTAAACTTAACAATAGTCCACGGTTTTAGTGTTGTTAATGTTATAATATGTACAATACGACAAACAAAAACGACAATATTTTTACTTGAATTTTGGAGTTACGGTAGTACGTTTACAATCAACAGTTGTTACTTATTTCTATATATTATTATGTACACTGTACAGTGAACCGTGAACACAATGTAAGCAAAGTTCATTGTAATTCGTATGGCTTTAAATTATACGCGCCGTAGTGGTGTAACAATTTTTCGTTTGTAGACTTAAATTTTTATAATATCATTTGGAGCGAGTTTAACGCGATGATCAATGAAATTAAAATTGATTGCGAATATACACCAATAAAATATGGCCCAATGGCGACTCTGGCACAAGTAAGCTTTTTTTCGTAAAACATTATAGTATATTCAATTAAAACATTAAAATCGTAAATTTTAGTCGTTGGCAACTATAGCACAGAGTTGTCTGTCAATCGGATTGGGTATGGAATTAGCAATACCGGCAATCGTTATTAGTCACTTGTATGGAAATGATAAGAGTGATTTCTCAATATCACTAACCGAGGCGTCTTGGTACGGTAAGTAAAATATATTTGTGTCATTTTCATTGTTGAAACTTTGAAACTTGTATAATATATTGTTTCGTATCTTGTTATGGACTTAAGAGGTATGGTGTATAATATATTATAATACTATGCACCTTTGTGTCGTTGCCAAACGCTTTGGAACGCCAATTTATTTAAAACGGCATTCTTCAATAAATCAATTTGGAAAAACATTATCATTATTAGAACTATAATAATAATAATATTAATTGAAATTATTATTTTTTACAATTTTAACTATAAGACAGGTATAAAATACAACAGGTATAAAAATAATGTATAGAGCCGAGTATATATTTCTTTATATGTATACTAGCTGGATTACCCGTCGTTGTCTGGCTTATGTATTGTTGTTATCTTTTAAGATTAAATATTTTCTAGTTAAATGAAATTTTAATAAGATTGTTTAAAAAAATATGTTAAAAAAAATATTAATTGTTTATTACGCTGATTTTTTCTAGACTTTTTTTTTAGCTTCCTTGACTTGGTTGCTTTGAGGTCTAACTGTAATAGGTACTTACTTTTATTAATTAAATTGTCTGTAACAGTAACATTATTAGAAATAGACATATCGCCTTCTGAAGTAACAATTAAATTTTCTGTAACATTAAGAATATTAGAAATAGATAAATAAACATCAAAATGCCCACTATTAATATTTCCAGTTAGACTCAAATACGCAATATTTTTACTGGGAATGTATATGTATCTACACAAGATTTAGCATAAAGATTATTATTATAATAAATTTAAAATACGTTGATCCCTCAGGAGGACAAATTCCTTTATATATATAATATATACTATATAGATTATAATACTATATTATATTGACAAATACATTACAATATTGTGTAGGTAATATTATATATCATACGCACTATACATAATATTACATTCATTTATTATTATAATATGTAAAATTATGTTATGTTTTGTTGTTATATTTACAACCCTAGGGAGTATATTATTTATATTCCACCCATTTGGATGTTTTCTGTCGGGAGTGCTACAAGAGAGATTTGGAAAGAAACGTTGCATGATTTTTGCAAACGTTCCCAGCATTGTCGGATGGACTTTGCTGTACTTTGCTCACTCGTCGCCTTTTCTCTACGCATCTGCGCTTTTTATGGGATTCAGCATAGGCGTCGGAGCTGGTGCAGTACACGCCTACATCGGTGAAATAACAGAACCAAGACTCAGAGGATCTATGTCATCGATATCGAATTCAGCATCTTTGTTTGGATCGCTGTTGGGATTCATTTTGGGTTCATTGTTTGACTGGCGTACTGTTGCACTGTTGAGCACACTTTGTCCTATAATTTGTGTATCACTAATCATTTTTGTGCGTGACGTTCCATATATTTATTATTTACCAGTTTTCACTAACATTTGGATTAATATTTATGCTGTTTTTTCATTCTGTTTGTTTAGATCCCGGAGTCTCCCATTTGGTTAATCGCCAAAGGCAAAAACGATAAAGCCGAAAAGGCCATATGTTGGCTAAGAGGATGGGTGGACCCTGAAATCGTTAAGCCCGAATTAATTACACTGTTCCATTATATCGAAGTATCTGGAACTATTGGAAATGAAGGTAGCAATTTTCGAGCCAACGATGATAATAGTTTGTTGTCGAAATTAGCCCTATTCAAGGAACCATCGGTTTATAAACCTTTGAAATTAATATTGATTTATTTTTTCACATCTTACTCAGTTAACCTTAGTCCAGGCAAACCGTTCATTGGTAAAATAATGACAGAAGTCGGTTTACGGGATTACCAAAGTATATATTTGGTACAAATACTGCAGTGATATAAACAATAACAGTATATGTATATTTTGGATGAATCATTAAGAGAAATTCGTTTTTAGATTATTTTTTCCGTTGTGCAAACGATTGGGAGTGTGATATTGATCTTAACTATACGTCGTTTCCGGAAAAGATTTTTGACATTAGTAACGATATCGATAAACTCTGCTTTGTTGCTATTATTTAGCGTATACATCATCGCCATGAAAAACAATTATATTGAATCGACGCAATGGATTCCTTTGATAATAATCTGTGGTATCTACTTTTCTGGGGGTTGTGGTGCAGCATGCATACCCTGGATGTTAATTGGTGAAGTGTTCCCGAACAAGTAAATATAACTTATACAAGCACATTTAATATAATATTTATTAAATGTCAAGTAAATGTCAGGTATTTACTGTATACCTATACCAAATTGCATTTAACTACCTATACTGTTGGCAAGACCCTTCTTTTTATACAATATAATATTTTGTTATAGGTATATATATATATTATATATTATATAAGATTCATAAAATTAAACTATAATTTTAATACATAAGTACAAGATTATAGATAAGAATTTAGATACTATTTGTAAACAAAATTAACAATTATTTTTTAAACGGTTGGATTATAAGACATCAATTATTTACTGTACAAATGGAAAGGGAGATAAAGCCCCTAGCCCCTTAGCCGCCATTGATCCGCACCTATATTATGTTATACGAAGGATAGCTATTTTGTACCTATATTAGTATTTGGTGTATTGTATTTAAATAAAAATAAATTAATCATATTTTATCTACATAATATCTAGACATTTATCTCTATAAGTAGGTATATAATATGTAATAATTGTAATATTTTTTTAATATTCTTTTTATTGTTCTTAAGCATCGGTAACTATGGCCATTAGCATTTTGTAGGGGGGGGGGTCACGGTTGGTTGAGAAACACGTGGATGTGGGGCGAGGATTCGTCACTAATAACCCGGGTGGTCACCCATCCGGGAACTAATGACGCCGCCTGATGCTTGATCTCAGAACACGTTAGTGACTGAGGCCAACCACCGAGCCACACATTGCCTAAATTGTGATATTATGTAGATCGTAGGTACATTATCATGACATGTTTTTTAGAATAATTAATATGAAAATTTAAAATTGCATTCAATTTTTTTAATTTTTACTTATTACTTATTAGTATAGATTTCTTATTAGTATGAACTTATTACTTATTTCATTATTGAAAATTGTTTAATTTATATTTTATTTTTACAGAAGTAGAGGAATTGCTACTGGCGTATGTGCAGGAATGGCATATTTACTTTTGTTCACATTAACAAAATCGTACCTAACAGTTGAAATGATTTTAAGTATTGAGTACACTATGCTTCTATTTGGTTGTATTGGTATTTTTGGATTAATTTATTTTTACAATTATTTGCCAGAAACAGAAAATAAAACGTTATTAGAAATTGAAGAATTTTTCGCATCCAATTCAAAGGCTCAAAGATAAATTTAAAAAAAGTGAGTGCTGTCATGGGACACCCGGTAGAAGCAAAGTTTCTTTTCCAACAAGTATTATAGATTACAAATACATTTTAGAGGAACCGTTCAAAATAAGAGTAAATATCAATAAGTAAATGTGAAAAATAAATGAAAACGAAAATTATTATTATTACTATTTAATAACTATTATATTAATCATATTCAATAAGCGAAATAATTAAAGACTGTGATAAACTGATAACTGAAATAGGATACGCATATTTGTGATGTAATTTGTTCCAAATATTTTTTAAATACTGTATCGATAGTGGTGTCATCTCTAGTTGTAGATTCTGCTGGATTGTTTATCGTGTAAATTGAACGTGTCCATAATGAAAGCTTTTAAAGTTTCCGATTTATTATCATTAAAATTGATGTTAAAGTCAAATTGTCATAATTTATAAATTATAATAATTATAAATTCATAATAATATAATATGCAGATCTTATTACTCTTTTTCAAATGTCAAATCCTACCGCGTTATATACCCGTTATCTATTACCTATAGTCTATACCAAACGCGACACACAAAGAAATGTAATCTAGGCAAAGGTAAAGCACTATATAGGCATCAATCAGATTATTCTACGAAAACAATTTCATGAGATAAAAATGTTTACGTTTCATGCAAGGAGATTATATAATATATGTATATAAGATGTAACCAAAAGTTTATGTTTTTTTTAGGACCGTGGTATTGAATTCAGTGTCTGGTTGTGCATAGAATACACGTGATATACACGCCCAGCAGTTTTGAGGATTTTTCCCTCGGCACTATGGGGATTCCCATTCCCACTTTACGGCCCGCTCGACGGAAAAAGGTCGCTTTCCAACGCTTCAACCGCGGTCGAAAACCAAACTTTCGGTGCAGGCGTGACAAAAAATATATACCAACGTACAATTCAATACTTATATATATTATATACTTATTACATATATATATATTATATGCTTATTACATATATATTTTATTAATTATAAAACCTCTAACGCTTCAACCGCAGTCGAAAACCAAATTGTCGGTGCAGGCTTGACAAAAATATATTACGTACAATTCAATACTTATTGAATATATATTATAAGCTTATTAGTTATTACTTATATATGTTATTAATTATAATAATTATAAATACATAATATACTCAGTGTTGTGATATATTATCAATGATTTTATTATATTATCAATATACGCAAGATATTTATAAATTATTAATTATTAATCAATCGCGGACCGTCTCTACAACTTACCGCTCGCGTTTTTTTTTTTTGTTCCATCCTACCAATCGATCTAACAATGCGATAATATTTCTGAAAACTGATCTGAGTTGGTTAGAATTTATCTTAGAGATCGGTTAGTCCACATTTTAAGATTTCTACTTTAAATTCCGAATAAATCCAGAATAATTAACGTTTGAAAATTCCGAAATTTTAATATATTCAAGCTAAATTTTTAGAGGTTGGCGGTGTGCAATTGAGAAAAGTAGACTGATCAATCTCAAGTAGACATAATATCAGGAGTAGTAGTGTTCACACAGATCCTCCTCTGCTGTCGGTTCAAACGAAAAAAAAAAAAAGTAGACATAATAACGAATTCAAATCTGTTTTAAAAAGTATTATCTAAGTATTATCGCATTACTAGATCATTATGATGGAATGAAAATTGGATGTTTTGGCTAAAATAACTGTTTAATATATTATAAAAAATAGTATTTCATATTTTCATCAGGAAAGTTTTTTCCCGACTAGCCCCGCATCGTGCCATAAAAAAACTTCGTTTCAAAAAATCTAGTAATTCATTATATTAATGAATTTGAAGTTTATTACTTATTATTTCTTTATTTATTATAAAAAAATTGTATTAAAATTTGTTTTAATAGTCTTTAAGGTTGAAATAATCTATTGTTTGATATTTTAAAAAAGTCATATCATGAATGTTTAAAAATAATAACTTAACATTACTTATATTTTAATTTAACATGGGGGGAATCTCAAAGAAAAATAATTTAAGGAGAAATCGTTTTTGAGCAATTTCACTAACATTTTGTTATTTTTTGACGTACCTAGGCAATAAAACATATTTGAATTTCTATCATATTCTTTTAAAAAATATGTAAAAATAAATAAAATTAAAAAGTTTTATAACAACTTCAAATATATTTGCTATTTTCTGAGTGGAACAATGAATGTATTGATTTTACAATGATGTGTTTTTTTTTTATTTTTGTGTCCGTGTACACGATAAGTAGTCGAAATAATGCTTCGATCTTCAACTTCAGTATTTTGTTCGATTGGAAAGTGAATATAGTTGGTGCATTCGGGAGGTCAAATTTTAAAATTCCCAATAGTTTTCACAAGCGCCGGGATTAAACATATAAAAATTAATTAATAACGGGAAATTTTACACAAAATCTGTTTTCCAAAAAGTCGATTTTGGTTTTTGATGTAACTCTAAAACAAATGAACGTATATACATGCAATTTTCACTGGTTGTTTATATTTGCATTTTCTATACACGATAACATTTTCAAAATATTTTGATTTATTTTGAACTGTTTAGGGACATTTTCATTTTCCATTTTTTTTAGTTTTTTTCTAAAAATATCAATGAAATTTTATTTGTTGATTAAAAAAGCTTGAAAATTTAATAGAAGGCTCCTAGTATATTGTTTCAAAGGCAGATGAAAAATATTAAAAATCCTTAGTCACAGTTTTTTTTTATAAGCATTTAAAGTTCAAAAATTGACAAAATATGGAAAAATCACGAAAATTAGCAAATTATTTTGAGTTAAGAATTCGTAAAAACTTTTCTTTTTAAATCTAAGATTTTAAAATGTTATACAAGATTACTCATAAGTTTGTCTACCTTTATCAATAAAAAAATCTCTACCGGAAAGTCAAATTAAATTTTTATGAGCGTTTGAAATTAAAATTTTTACAACATTGGATATTCACTCGATTTCTCATGTAGCGATTTCCTTATTTTGTTGTAATTCAAAAACGAATAACTGTAGATACCTTTTTAAGCTGTTTACGGACATTTTCAGGTTTCAATTTTTTTAGTTTTTTTTCTATAAATATCGATAAAGTTTTACTGTTGGGCCAAAAAGTGTAAAAATTTAATACAAGGCTCCTGATATATTGTTACAATAGCAAAGATCGAATTTTGACAACATTTATCAAAATTATCAATCATTGTAATTAATAAATTATAAAATGTTCAGTTTTTATAGCTAAGGATTGCAAATTTATAACAAAGGTTTTCATAAATAGTTCATACTGTAACCAAAAAATCTAAAAAATGTATGAACACAGTTATTTTTTACAGATATTTTAAATTCAAATTTGAAAGAAATTACATAATAAAAAACCTAGAATAACTATTTTAGTTATTTTGTTGTGATTGAATAATATTATTCGTGGGTACTTGAAACTTCTAAAGTATACTACCATATATCTATGATAGTATCAGGGTTTGTTGTTGATGTATAACGCGTTATAAGTACCTAATGGATATCGTGATATGATTAATTTGGTATTCATTAAAGGTCAATTTTTTTTAATACCATAGATAAGTTTATAATATGTCTTATACCTAAAAGGACATACCGTCTCCGCTCAGAATCGTTTTTCTTATACAATGTTATAATATCATTGAATTCAATTGTAATACCATCCATTATACAGTGACCCACTTGTAACCTACTGCACAGCAGAGCGACACCCACTTGCCCACCTTTTGTTTATACTAATATTATATTAAGAAAGAAAAATAATTGTTTCTTTAGTCATCTATAATCTCTGGAATTAGGTACTTTAACCGATTTTAATAGTATATTGTGTGGCATGGGTGGAAATTACCTTCCCAGTCCTAAGTACAAATAAATGTAAAATATTATGATTAGTATGTTAAAAATTAAAGTAATACTTAAATATTTTTGATACTGGGTGGATCGATAAATAAATACGTGTCATTTTATTTTTATTTTTTTTTCTGTCTGTCATCATCTTTTAGGCCAGTAAAAATACTTGGATTTTCTTCAACAGCATTTTTTCTGATAGGAAAATTATTCTAGTTGGTACTATTTAGGAGGTCAAAAGTAGTTTTCAAAAGCACTAGGAAAAAAAAATGTTTGCTGTAACTTTAAAACAAATTACCGTAGATACATGACATTTTCACTGAGTGTTTATGTTAGAATTTTATATATATATTATAATATCATGCACCATACAATTTTCAAAATAGTTTTAATTGGTATTTGAACTATTTACGGATATTTAAGGTTTCAATTTTTTTAGTTTGTATAAATGCTTATACAATTTTATTCGTTGGATCAAAAAGATTGAAAATGTAGTAGAAGAAGGCTCCTAATTTCTTGTTTCGATTTCAGTTGAATAATTTTAAAAATAAAGTCACGATTTTTTTATAAGCATTTATAGAGTTAAAATTTTGAAAAATACAAAATGTTCACATCATTTTGAGTTAGAAATTCATAAAATTTTATATTTATAAATCTAAGATTTGAAAATTGAATACAAAATTTCTCAAAGCTTGTTTAACTGTATCAAAAAAAATCTCTACCTACCAGAAAGTCAAATTAAATTTTAATGAGCATTTGAAGTTTAAATTTTTACTACATTGAATATATTCACTCCAACTCACATGTAGCGACTTTCTTATTTTGTTGTAATTCAAAAACCAATAACTGTATAGGTATACTTGAAATTTACACCATAGGTATGTTTATTTTATCAATTCCTATACTTGATAAAATTTTCAAAATATTTTGACTCGTTTTGGGCTATTTAGAGATATTTTCAATTTTCAATTTTAGTTTCTAAGTGGAGAGACGAATGTATTGATTTTACATTGATGAGTGTTTTTTTTTTTTTTTTAATCTAAAATTTAATTTAAACTTTTTATTTTTGTGTCTGTCATCACCTTTTAGGACAGTAAAAATGCTTAGATTTTCTTCAACATTATCTTTTCTGATAGGAAAGTGAATCTAGTTGGTACTTTGGTTGGTTAAAAGTAAAATATTCCCAGTAGTTTTCAAAAGCGCCGTGAAAAACAAAAGAAAAATTATGGAAAAACGGAAATTCTGACGCAAAATCTGTTTTCGAGAAAATCGATTTTGGTTTTTGTTGCAACTATAAAACAAATTACCTTAGGTACATGAAATGTTGACTGAATGTTTATATTAGCATTTTCTATAGACCATAAAATTATCCAAATATTTCTGTAAATATCAATATAATTTTTTTTGTTGGTTAAAAAAGATTGATAATTTAATAAAAGTCTCCTAGTATATTGTTTCAAAGGCAGATAAAAGAAATTAAAAATCCAGTCACAATTCTTTTTTATGAGCATTTAAAGTTCAAATATTGACAAAATACGTAAAATTTTCGAAAATGTGCAAATTATTTTGAGTTGGAAATTCATAAGAATCTTTCTATTTAAATCTACGATTAGGAAATGTTATACAAAATTCCTCATAAGATTGTCTATCTTTACCAAAAAAAAAAAAAAATGTCTTCAGGCAAATCAAATTCAGTTTATATGAGCGTTTGAAGTTCATATTTTTACAAGATTAAATATTCACTCGATTTCTCATGTAGCGATTTTGTTATTTTATTGTTATTTAGAAAGGAATAACTTTAGGTACATGAACATTTTATTGAATGTTTATATTTTTATTTTTTATACATCATACAATTTTCAAAATTGTTTGACTCTTTTTGAGCTGTTTAAAGAACATTGTCAGTTTTCAATATTTTAAGTTTTTTTTCTATAAATTCAATAAAATTGTATTCGTTGGGTAAAAAAGAGTGAAAATTTAATGCAATGCTCCTGGTATATTATTACAATATCAGTTGAAAAATATAAAAATATGTAGGCACAATTTTCTTTTATTTAAAGTTCGAATTTTGACAAAATTTATTAAATTTAAAATTTAATAGGTATTTATTTAGTAGTTAAAAATGTATAGTAATAAATAAATACTAATTTCTACTGTAGACTGTAACCAATGGCAACTTTTAATAAATAAAAATAAAATTTCCAATTTCCATCGTGAACCTCAATGTCCCTGTTTGAGCACCTAATTAAAATGCGAATTTCAGAAAATCCTTTCTTATTGCACGGTGAAAATATAAGAAGAAGCTCCATTCCAAATTTCAAGTTCTTACATTAAGTAGTTTTTGAGTTATAGAGATCAGTGACTAACTGGTATTTGGATTTTATATGTAAAGATAATCTAATGAATAATAACTAATATTCCATTTATTTTATGGTTTTAATTTTTAATATTATTACCTTGGTTGCTGAAATTTCTTCAAATGTTTGGTCAGTATACTCAGTATAGGTACTCGGTTGTCGATTTTCAATACGTTAATAAAATAACTGTTGATAAAATACAACCATATTTTGTTATAGCAATACCATTAATATGAGATCTATTCATCAATAATTGAGCTACTTGAAAAGTTGAAAAATTAGATCCACGTTTTTATCTGCTCTAAAAATAAATGACCTTATTTCGAAAACAAATATGTAATTTTCAAAACGTATAATCCACTCTTCATTCAGATTTCAGAATCTGTAATGGAGATTTGAAATAAATTGTCTGAAGAAATACAATTGCTGCCTATCTCAATTGGGAGCTTTTAAAATATAATCAAATCAATGCACATTTGGAAAAGTGATACTTACATTATGTTTAAATATGATATAATATTGTTCAAAAATATATGACTAAATATAAGCAGATTTAATTAAATAAATCAGTATCCTACTAAGCCGTTTAATCGCACCCAAATTGATTTAAAGTTTAAATAGTAACAATAATAATTGTGATAAAAACCCACTTGTGCAAATATTATATTGTTAAGTAGGTAGGTACATATTTTCATCGAGTAAGTATTTTATCTTATTATTGTAGTTGGTGATGCCGATACTTTAAAAAGATGTAACAGAAGTAAGTTCCTATTTAATAATAATAACATGTGTAATTTTAACATAATGGACTCAAAATACTTTATAATATCGTAATGTATGGATGTTGACTATAAATTATAATGTCAGACGTCAGTTGTATCTAAATAGAAAAGGCCATCATTTTTTAAAACAATACTGAATACGTCAAGGTACATCGGTGAGGGATGTTTTAATTAAATATTTTAGTTTCCGAGCGGAGCAATGAATCCATCGATTTTACAATGATGTGTGTTTTCATTTACATTTTATCTTTAGTGTCCGTGTACACGATAAGTAGTCGAAATAATATTTTGTTCGATGGGAAAGTGAATCTAGTTGGTGCAATAGGGAGAAATTTTAAATTCCCAGTAGTTTTCAAAAGCGCAGGGAAAATCAAAAAAAAAAAAATAAGGAAAACCGGGAATTTTTACGTATACAAATCGGTTTTCGACAAAATCGATTTCGATTTTTGGTGTAACTCTGAAACAAAATATGACCTTGTAAATACATGACAATTTAAGTACGGTCTAGTTGATACATAGATCCCTGCATTACCTTTGTCGTGATCGATTAATGCAGAGACGTGACAAAAAATAGTATGTGTGGCTCGTGAGGGAAGGCAATTTCAGTCTTGGGCGAAATGCAGTCGTGCCGCACACGTCGCCGCGAGTGAAATAGCTCACTTCCCGCCCTTGCCACACAATATACTATTGTAGTTAACACTTTTTTAAATGTTCGATTTTTATAGTTAAGGCTCGAAATGCCTTGAATAAACACATATCCCCTTCAAGCCAAAATCCTACTCGACCTACTCGAGAATGAGAACAATATAGAATTTATAGATAGGACGGGATTTGAGACTATACTTACAGATGTAATATTTACTTATATTAGAATAAATGACTGTGTTGTATGGAGGTTTTGGTAGTATGATTAAAATTAATTTAACTGTAACTGTTATTTGAATCGTTTGCATTAAAATGATATGACACGTTCCACGTTAATTGGTTATTAAAATAATTATTCAGATTACAATATTCAGATTTAAATTACTATCGTATTAATAGTTTAATTACTTAATAATTGCCTACACAAATAATTAAAATACATTAAATAATCTGTAACCATTATATTACAGCAATGTTATTATGATGTTTTGCATTTGACGGTTATCTGTTCGACGATAATAATGATGAGCTAGTATAAAATTTCAGCACTCGTATCAATGTGAATAACATTTTGTAGCGAAATAACATACTGCAGTTTGCCATAAACACTATAGGTACTTGAACATATCAATATGCGGTGGTGTTGATAACAGTACTAGGTGTAAAACACTTTTTACATGTTGACGATTCGAATTGATAGTTACGTATTTGCCATTGATCAATAAAATCCCATTCGTTATATCACATTTTGTTGATGTGCTATTATCAATGCCAGAAGTAAAAGAAATCCAAGCACAAGACTCCGCACCAAAATATGGTCCGAAGGCGACGTTGGCACAAGTAAGTGTTTTATCTGCGATAGCAAAAGTTTAAAATGAAAAATGTCTTACCTTTATCGAAATATGTGAAAGTGTTTGGCCACAACAGCGCAGAGTTTTCTGTTCATCGGATTGGGCATGAACATATCGATACCTGTGATAGTCATTCGCGACTTGTATCGGAATCCAAATAGTGAATTCTCAATAACGACCGCTGAGGCCTCGTGGTACGGTAAGTCAATTGATTATCAATGTCCACTATAATAATTGTCGATAGGTTATTAAACGATCGTTCAAAGGTTCGAATTTTCATTTTTTCCCATTAAAGTGCCGGTGAAAATTGTTGTTGTTGAAAAAGTCTGGGACATGTAATAGTTCAAAGGTGTTGAAGCCAGAAAAGGTCAACAGTTTTCGAAAATAATTATGTTTAATTTAATATTTTCAAGATTATTAAGTATTTCTTAATGACTATTTATTTGATACTTAAGTATATGTAATGTACTGAATGTTTTAACCATATTACTTACATAATAATAATATGTTGTTTTAAATTTAACCTCTGTGATAATTATATAAGACTATATTTACGTTATAACATCTAAAGTTTAAACCTTGCAAAACGGATAAGACGATTTACACAGTCAGTCGTATAATGGGCTGTTTTGCTAACGTTGAAATTTTAGTGGGATATACTAAATATATTATTGAACAGTTGATACCTAACAACAGTGATGAAATATTAAACTTATATTACCTACAAGAGAAACACCGATCGTACGAGTATCAGCTGATAAGTTTTTCGTGCTAGAGTTTAAATAAACAATAGGTCGTAAACATTTTAAGAATATTATGAAATACAAAATATACCTAAAAAGTGATACTTACATAATATTATAATGTATTATTATTATCGTAATAACTATAATAGGTAGGCCGTGGGCGTATAATACAGTGTACGATTATTTAATTAAAGTACACAATAGGACTAGTATAATATTACTACAAGGTAATGATTTTCAGAAGTGTGATATGATCAAATAGGGATCACCTGCACGTTGATATCTACCTATATAATATTATATTCGCCACTTTACTGGAAGCTTTTTTATTTATTAAATAATTTACGTCCACGGAGGGCAATAGTACACTAATAATATGATATTAAATATATTTTACACATTTAACATGATGTGCTTATCATTAATTTATACTATTAATACATTTATGGCACAGTATTTTACTTTCATCTTATCTATGAAAAAAAATCAAAATCGAACCGTCGCCGGTTCGAACACCGACCACGGGCTGCTCGTCTCTCTGGGCAACTGACAGTCCTGTAAAGAATACTTTTATTTTGTATTCAGAATACATATTCGAATAAATGAGAACTAAGGTATTCAGAATACGTATTCGAATAATTCTTAAAAAATATACTCATAATACTTATTCGAATACTTTAAAAAGTATTCAAATTCTATAAGAATACTTTTTTTCACAACTAGTTTTTGTCAGTTTTTGAATGGTTAGTAATTAACATTTATTAATTAATAGTTAAAAATGCATCGTAATCATAAGTTATTTATGAATTTTTATCACATATGATAAGGCTGATACGGGCCATACTGAATACAACACATTGGTGTTTATAAAAATAATCATATCATGGGCGGCCAATATTATTATATTTCGTTCAAAGAATAAAATAAATGTTTATGATGTTCATGATAAAACTATGTTTCTGGATCAGAAAAAAGTATTTTTTTAATGAATATAAAAAATAAAATAAAAGTATTCAGAATACGTATTTGAATACTTTAAAAAAAAATTATTTAAAATAGTATTCGAATACAAAAAAAGTATTAAAATACTCTTATTCAAATACATTTATTCGAATACTTTGCAAGACTGGCAACTGACCAGAGACTGTGGCCGCCATCCAACTACCGGGCATGGCAAAAACCTACGAGTGCCCAACTTGAAATTCTGCCAAACCTAATAACGTTCCAACCGTTCCCCTCCCCCTACAAAACAACTAAACAGCTAATGGCCGGGCTTAAGTTCAATAAAAAAAAATAAAAACACAGAAGTTTAATATTTGACATACATATGTAGGGCTGCTTAGAACAAACCTATGTATAGTACGACGTTTTAATAACTTAATGTTTACATATACAAACCATGTCGAGCTCCCCGAACTAAACAAACCAGGTAACATTGGAAGTGCAGTAGATATGCATATAGCATTAGGGCGATCACCTGCACGTTAATGTCTAATCATGTTGAATTCAATATAATATTATTTGACTTTACAGGAAGCTTGTTGTTCATAGTCCACCCGGTCGGATGTCTACTGTCGGGGATCCTGCAAGACAAGTTCGGAAAGAAACGCTGTATGATACTCGCAAACGTGCCAAGTATCTTCGGATACGTGCTGCTGTACTTGGCACACTCGTCGGTGTTATTGTGCGCGTCGACCTTACTGATGGGATTCAGCACGGGATTCGGCGCCGGATCCACCTCGTCGTACGTCGGAGAGATATCGGAACCTAGGCTCAGAGGGTCGCTGGGTTCGCTGGGAAGCACTGCCATGAGATTAGGCACGTTACTCATGTACATCCTGGGACTGTTTTTCGACTGGAGGACCATGGCATTGCTCAGCATGTTCTGCCCCATTATATGCATATGTTTCATCATTTTCGTACGTAGTCCTGCGATTCTATACATTATTATTAGTCGTGATGTTTGTCGTCATATTGTATTAAATTGAATGATATTTGTTGTGTCGCTGACGTATGGTTTTTGTTTTGTTGCGTAGATTCCGGAGTCACCCGTTTGGTTGATCGCCAAAGGCCGAAATGATAAAGCCGAAAAGGCCATGTGTTGGTTGAGGGGGTGGGTGGAACCTGAAAAAATTAACCCGGAATTTCTCGAACTGGTTCATTACAATCAAGTATCTGGAACACAAGGTGGCAAAATTGAAACGGACGATAATAATAAGAGGTTTCTTTCGAATTTAGCCCAGTTCAAAAACCCGGCGGTCTATAGACCACTGAGATTGATGCTGATTATTTTCTTCGTATCTTTCGTAGTCAGCCTTTTCCCTACCAGACCATTTATCACCAAAATAATGAAAGAAGTTGGTTTATTCGATAACCAAAACGAATCGTTGGTATGAACTTATCGAACTGTCGATTTCGTAATGCTGAAATTATATTTTATATTAAACTGTAATCGACAACATTTCATTCTAATTTTAGGTCCTCCTGTCAGGCCTGACGAGCATCGGGTGCATCATAGCGACTGCGATTGTCCATCGAACTGGGAAAAGATTATTGACTCTATTTACGTTATCTATAAACACTGCTTTATTGTTATCTTTTGGTGCATACATTATTTCAGTAAAGGCAGAATATTTTTCATCGTCTCCTATGATTTTCTTGATATTTCTGTGCAGCATTTACTTTATCGGCTCATGCGGAATTTCGTGCATTCCCTGGATGATACTCATTGAAGTTTTTCCCAACAAGTAAAATATTTATATTTTTATTAAATATATTTTATGTTACTCACATAATGCGCAGTTTATCTTTAAACCAATCGTTTCAAGTTGAGTATTTTTCTTCAAACTTTTAATCAAATGGTTTTTTTTTTATAATAATTATTGTCCTGCTGATATTTTTACATTTATTGATCATTGAGAATTATCAATGAATTTGTGGCTATATACTATTTTAATTTATTAAATTAGACGATTGCAATTTAATTATTGTTTTATATTAATACTAGGTATCTATACAAATAACGTTTAGCATCCAAGTATTTAATTATTGATTGCATTTTTAATTTTAAAAATGTTATTAATAGCTATAATCATAATTCAGATGTTTCTTACAAACGTCATCGCTATAAAAAACATTTACAATTACATATTTGTAACTTAATATTATACTTTAGTGTACCTAAAAATCTATAAAAAAAAAAATGATTAAGCTTAAAAATAGCATGTACCATATTAACCATATTACCATTTTAATATCCTTACCTTATATTTGAATTTTCTTCTAGTTGCATTTTTTTTCTTACAGAAGCCGAGGAGTTGCTACATCTGCATCGTCGGGATTGGCCTATATCATGTTATTCACACTAACAAAATCATACTTAATAATTGAAATGTATTTAAGTCTGGAGTACACTATGATTCTTTTTGGTTGTGTTGGCGTTTTTGGTTTGATCTATTTTTATTTTTATTTCCCGGAAACTGAAAATAAAACATTATTAGAAATTGAAGAATTTTTTGTATCGACTAAAAACGGCTGAACTAAATTAATTACTTTTTTTTTTATTAATTTTGATTACCTAATTCAAATTTTTGAAATTCATAGTTTTTAATGTATTATCCTAAGAAGTTGCCAACCCAACCCACATGGGTTGATTTTCACGTATCTACAACATGACTAAATTTTCTTTCGGCAGAACCAATTATGTGTTATTAGTTTTAATGAGTGATAGAGCTACAATCAAACTTAAAAATGAGCTCATTATTTATACTAAAACATTGGTATTTTCTACTATATTTAATTTTTAAGTAAGACATGAGTATGTAAAATGTTACAATATTTAAAAAACCTTATAACACACTTAAAAATGAAAATACCATAAACAATCCAACCAATAAAAACAGATAATGGCCTTATCCTGTAATCATATAATAAGTTAATACTCAATTTAATCTAATATTAAAGCTAACAACACAAAATTGGTTTCTATATGTTATACTTTTAAAATATGTATGGTCAACATGGTGTCGCATCCTCCAAACTCATATATTAATACGCAACGAATAAGGCAGTAACTCAATTTTCCAAATTTTTTTTTTATTTTCTATAGGGTATAATTGTTTTTCTGGAAGTCCAACGAAGACTGTAGTAAGTCTATTTTATTGTGTAGAACGTATGCAATAAAATAGAGTTACTGCCGTCTTCGTTGGACTTCCAGAAAAACAGTTATACCCTATAGATTCTATAGGGTTTTCTATAGTATAGAAAATTAAAAAAAAATAATTGAAAAATCAAGTTACTGCCTTATTCGTTGCGTATGTTGTACGTTGTGTATTATGTTCCGACAATATACAACCATTAACTATATTATGTTCAATTACCTATAAGGTTAAATTATATTTTCAGTTATGATATATTATATTATATGTATTAAAATATATTAAATTTAAGTTAGTTTAGTGTTTAAACAATAGTATAATATAGTAAAATCGCTAAATGTTGTATATATTATGTATATAAATTGTTGGTGAAATGTAAAATTGATTGTAGATTTTTTTTATTGTTTTGTAAATTTTTTTGTTTAAGTAAATAAATTTATTTTGGAATGTTTTTTTAATAAATCATTTTAGATTTTTAGATAATCGAGAATGTATTGATTTTTCAATAATTGGATCCAATATTTTATTGATGTATATTTTACTTTGTGTGTATGTTTACACGATTTATAGTAGAAAAAATATTTTGATCATCAACTATTTGAGGATGGTTTCTGATAGAATATTGGATTTAGTTAGTATTTTTGGGAGATAATAATAAAGAGTTCCCAGTACTTTTAAAAATAAATGGGAGAAACAAAAAAATAAATATTTAGGGAAAACCGGAAATTTTAGCTCTGCTCTAGTATGCGGTCTACACTGTAGGGTGACTATATTTAAAAAAATAAAATACAGGACAAAAATACTATCATATTATCATAGGCGCAAATTGACTAAATTTTTTGGGGGGACTCAAGCCCCCCTCCACAAAGGTCTTAATATATTAAGTAAAACAAATGTTGGAGGGAAACGCTCTCCATAAAATCCCCCACCCACTGAACAACTATCGTTACGGATATATAAAAATACAAAGTATTACATTTTTAGAATATATTTATTTTAACAAAATTCTCCGTTCTTTTTCGGCAAATACATTTAAAATATCTTCTGTATTTATATTATTAGATAAATCCCTTATTCCAATAAATATTAAAATATAACCTAACAAGTAAGTAATAAATATATATCTTAGTCCGTGGACCATGGTAACAAATAATAATTATTAATGATAACAAAATGCTCCGTTCAAAAATTGGCGCGTAAACCGTCGATTATGGAGGTCAACAGCAACCACGGCATTATTCTTTGGCTATAGATACTATAGCCGTGATCGTGACACAGCCCTCATAGTTTATCACTAGGGCTCGGATTTAAATGCCCTAAAAATATCAAAAAAATGCCCTTTCAAAAAATGCATTTATGACCTAAAAACTCTAAAAAATGCCCTAAAAATATCAAAAAATGACGTTTCAAAAAATGCATTATTTATTAAATAAATTCAAATTTAATTATTATTAAAAAATGAGGAACAAAGTAAGTACCTTCGACGTAATACGCAACACGACTGAAAGCGCCCGACAATCGGCCACACGCACCACCGATATAATATTATCGCTCGATAAGAAAATAATCCGATAATATCGGCTAATTGGATGGTGTGACATAAAGGTTGTAAAAACCGGAAAACCTGATGTTAAATTAGTTCAAATAGTTCAAAATGAAAATAATTTTTATTACGTAGTACTATATTACTATGTAGTACTTATATTTCAATGAGGTCAATTTTTTTAGTCATAATACGACAAATAGGTCAAAAATGTCCTAAAAAATTAAAAAATGCATTTAAACCGTCAAAAAATGCTCTTAAAATGATGAAATCCTCTAAAAATGCAAAAAAAAAACAAAAAAATGCCCCAAAAAATTATTATGGTTGGATTGCGAAGTACTTGAAACATATTTGTAGCTTGGAAAGCATCGCGTAAGATATCCCAAAAAAAAGATTCAAATGCATTGAAATCCGAGCCCTATTTATCACCTATAAATTACTTATCGGTTATCAATTATCTGTTTGACCACGAGGCACGGACTAAGATATGTTATAGTATTTTTTATGAAGATTTAAAAAAAAAACTAGCATAATAATAATATTTTTTTTTCAATAATTGTATTTTGTAATTTGGTTAAGTTTTTAAAATATATACAATATACATGTTTAGTACTACAGAATATAATAATTAGTACTAATTACTAGATTTTGAACTGGGGGGACTTGACCGAAATCTGGGGGGACTAAGTCCCCCCAAGCCCCCCCCTATTTGCGCCAATGCATATTATTATATTTTAATAATTTAATATATAATATTTTTAAATTAATAAGTATTTATTCTATTTTTTTGTTGTCCGATAAGACAGTCCGAATAAGATTTATTTATTTCGCAATATGCTCACATTTGATAACGAACTGGTCGCGCCGGTCGATAAATATACTATTATATACGTACGGTTTACGTCGCCGACAGCAATGTGATGCAACAGTAATAATGGAAAAAACAAAAATACAAATGAAAAGTATAGATTTTTATATTATTCTATTCAATAATGTCATTTCAAAAATTTCAAAAATTATAAATTTACAGTAAGGCAAAAAACGAGATTAATATGGGACGGACTTTAAATTACGAGACAAAAAGAGAGAAGTTTGTCAAGGACAATAAAGGACAATCCTGTATACAACAGGACGTATGGCCACCCTAGTCTACAGTACCTATATGTGGATTGTGGACCACGTAGTATATTAGCACGTCAAAATATTAATTAATGTATATTTTATCCATAGTATAATTAAAAATATATAATTCCGTTAAAAATTGAGTTAATTTAAATTAAACGACGAACGATAGGTAACTATTAAAATGATATAATACCTACGTAATTGTTTTGAATTAACAATTTTATCTCTATGCCTACTTTAAGTAATTTTATAGTGGTAAAATACCGCATACAATCAGCAATCTTACTTATATATACTAGATTGTATATTTATACATAGGTACATTTAATTTTTTTTTTCTGTTCTAATATGCGGTTTACGTATATGATTGTAGAACGCATTTATTTGTAATCCACATACAATGAGAGCAGAACCTACATTTTACGCAAAACCAGATTTTGACAGTATTAATTTTTATTTTGTTATATACATTTTTGATATTTTATTGTATTTTCAAAACGAATAACAGTAGATACTTGAAATTTTCAAAAAAATTTTATATTAACATTTTCTATATATGGTATAATTTAAAACATATATTTCATCAAATTTTTTGCTACTCAATATTATAATATAGTATAGTGTTGTATATTCATGTTGATAAAAAATGTTGCTAGGTAAAACACCTTGAAAATTTTATAAAAGATTCACTAGAGGTTGGATCTACAAATATTTTTTATGTGCGTCTGATATAGTGATATTTAAATTTTGACATCATTAGATATTCACACGTAAAATATTGATTGGTCATCATACAATTTTAGTTTTTTTATTATAAACAGTAATCCAACAAGTATTAATAGTAGTCAAATATAATATATGTTATTTTTTTTATTATTATTGGTGCAATTTTAACAACTAAGGTTACAACAATATTAAATATTAATACTACATTATATTTATGAATAGAACGGTTTTTCTAATTGTAGGTATATATCAATATGTTTGAGGAATTAGATAATTTTGTTGATATTGTCTTTAATTAGGCTAAGGGCTTCATAGAGGTTGTCTGGCATTCCTAGGCTTTTTCTAGTTTCTATATTATAGTTTTAACAGATTTCAGTACACAAGGATGTGTGACTTGACTTGACTCCCAAATTGTGTGTCTACAATCACATTTACCAATTTCGTTTTAATATATTCATTGTATTGTTATAATTGTTGTCTTTACGTGTATTACGTGTCTGTCTATCTATGTAGAACATTTACTTATTTATGTAGGTACGTTAAATATTGTCAAATACATATAAATTATTTAAGATTAATCTAAACATTACGAAATATTTGTTGTATTTAGAAATGATGATGATTTTAGAAGAAGATGAATGTTTTATGTTTATAGTACTTTTTACAATTAATGATTTTTGAATTCTAATAACAAAATATAAAAAATTATTTGAAGAGAAATCGTTCTTTTATGTTTGAATTTCCAATTCGGTATAGATCTTATTTTATTAATTTTTGACTTTACATTACTTTAGTATTACAATTTTTCTATATCTGTGTCTTTTTGAAGTTCGAGATAACACTTAATTATGTATATAAGTTATATTGTATGTGATTTAGTTTTATTATTTTTAATTTTTTTCAAGTGATGTATAATTTGTCACTTGATCGTAATGCTAGCTTGTCTTCGAGCTAAACTATTGGTATGAAATGGAATAATTAGACTAA